ATCCCCGTCATGCATGATTTTCTGCTACAAACACTCACCCTTGCAGAGCGAAAACAGAGCGAGAGTGTTGTCTTAGGTTTAGGTGTTCCCAAAATTAGGGGTACCTTGCAAGTGGGTCACAGGGGATATATAGGGGGTATATACGGGATCATATAGGGACCTTTTTTGGGGTCCACATAATATAATGATTATAGCAACAAGTACCATTTAAGGCTTGAGGGCTGAGAGTCTAGGAATGTGCGGGTAAGACAGCAGCTTCCGGAATCTAAATTCCCAACACCCCAACGCACAACTTTCTCGGAGGCATTCGGAAGATCGAGGATCGTCCAGTAGCAACACCAAAAATGCCTGCAGACCACAGACACAGGGTGGTTCAAGTAAAAGTTGCCAGGCTGCTATCTGGTGGCTATACCTTTGTGTAGAGTTCAGGGTTTAGGGCAGAGAGTCTTGCAGGCTCAGTCGCAACTGAGGCTAGCGCGGTCGACAGCAAAGTCTTTGCAGGGTCTTTGTGAATGAATTGTCCTTGATGTGGCCCTTGTCAGTACTATGAGGCCCAACACTCACTGGAGGTCGCCATTTGTCCAGGCTCATATTCCAGACGTCTGTCTGCCTGTGGCTGGACTCTTTTGCAGCCTCCACTTCACACTTCACACACTGAGCACCTTCGCCTTCGCGGGGCTGGCACACTTTCCAATGCTCACCACAACTTCTCGGTGCATTGCCAGTCTGCCAGGCTTGCTTCAAGGTGCAGAGTTAGGACCAAAGGTGCTTGACTGAGCCCAAGTCGGCGACCGGAAGCCTAGTGAGCCCCACGTATCTGGACCCTACGGTTGGGTTTCGTGTTCAGATGCAATGAAAAAGTCAGTCTGATTTACCGGTTGCATTTCGTTATAGCAGAAGACTTCCTCCGAGCACCTACAGGGTTCAGGATTGGAGTTCAGCGTCTCCCACCCTAAGCCCTCAATCCGTAAACTCTACCCCCCTAGACCCAAAACCTTCAGGATCGCATCCCAGTTCCCAGTGCAGCTGAGGAGTTGTCTATGTCCTGGCGAGCACGGCCGCAACATCTTCATTGGAAGCATTCTTTAATCATACTTTATAATTACAGAAGTTGATATTGGGCCGTGTTGTGGTATACTACAATGCATTGTACTGTATTGCATTGTATTGTATTGTATTGTATTGTATTGTATTGTATTGTATTGTATTGTATGGTGTTCTTGTTTTATGCTACATCATTTTGCATTGCACTGTTATATTATGTGCTATCAGGCTGCGATCGAATGGCTCATGGTTACATATACTATCCTATAGGGGTGTTATGCCATATGTCATAACGCCACACTCTGTCAGGTCAAAAATATTATGTCGTGCTATGTACAGTATAAACATATATATATATATAGATACACACATGTATCTATACAAGCATCTGTCTATACACATAACCCTGAGCCCGTGAAATCCATCCGACCTAGGCCACCCTGGCTTTCCAGTCTGGATTTCAGTTGGACATCGTTGCGGTGGAAAGATTCTCAGGCAGCAAAGGGCCCCACATGGTGCAAGTACCCAACAACCTGGTAATTGGGCTGATTGTTACATCATTTGTAGCCTAGGTTTTGGCAAAGTATAGGTCCTGCAGGCTCAGGGCGGCAGATGTGTATTCAAATTATTCAATGACTCGCTCGCTGAGGCATTTCTGAATCACTCGCTTACCTTTTTTCATCCTGATCTTCCACAACACCTTCTGCAAGCATAGACATCCCTTCTGCGTAGTGCCTCCAAACCAGCTTGCCCTAGAAGCCCAGGTACTTGAGTTGCAGGTTCTTGGGCTGTAGGTACTATAACCTAATACGGGGACCCGGCTTCCCCAATGGTCCGAGCACACAAGCACTGCATTCTTGTAGGCCCCAAGGAATGTTTCCAGGCCGAAAGTATCTTCAGGCTTCATTGCTGGAATTCCGCATGGTTGCAAGTTCCCTCCCCTTCAGCCCACCTGCCAAAGCCTAAATCCGAAACCTTGCCTACACCCCCCACCCTATGCTCGTGCATAGACGGAAGAAGGCTGCATGTCCTATGGTGCAAAAGCAACAGCTGAGCAACAGATGCTTGCAGCCTGTGATTGTGGGTCAATGACAACTTACACCTTTTTCACCAAGTTCTTATAAGTTCTCAGTGTAACAGTTTAACAGATGCCCAGGTTTGTCATCCTTGCCCTTGCTACTGCTGTTCGCCCTCAACTTGCGGGTCTGGACCCTACTACGCTGCAGCTTCACTTGCCCTTATCTGCCTTGGCCCAATATTGCAGAGACTTCTTGACCGGCACTTTTAGGACATGAACATCAGAGCCCAGACACCTAGGCCAGCATTATGTACAACATGTCCCGGGACTTCTTGAGCAGTGAACTTGATGCTCTTCAAAAACGTACGTGCTAGTGAACCCCAAATTTACCAGAGCGCTGGCCATTCCCAGAAACAGTCCTCAGTGGAGTGGGATCAGGGGTGGGTCAGTTCAGTCCGGGGTTCACGGCCCAGGCTTGATGCGTTGAGCTCAGACTCATGGTCCAGGGAATCCTGTGTTGACATTTGCTCACATGCTTTGTGGATGGTTTAGATGCTACTCGCACGGACCGCTCAGCCTAAGTATTCTACATTGATAGCAGGAAAGCCTGCAGAAGCTTGGTGGCAGGCCTAGTCAAGAACATGCGAATCACAAGTACCAGCGACGAAAATTCGTACCCAACAAAGTTGTTGGCGACCTACAGCTTCCGTTATGAGAGATGTCATGGTTAGGCAAACTTCCAACACGACATGGCGTCCTGAGGTCCGAGTTAAAAGTGTACCCCAGCTTAGAATCCCATGCTAGGCCAAAGCCTAATCGCTCAGACCCTCTCCCCCGTTCTCCTCGCTGTTTTCAACTCCCACTTGCTTCTTGACCTCCATTGGGGCTTGCATATCATTACGCATACATGGCGCCTTTCGACTTGACACGACCAAGCCTCTACTTTGCACCTCAGAACTCAGAACCTCTCTGTCGTCCAATACTCGAAACTATGTCAAAGTGTCAACAACTTCAGTAGTATACTGAGACACTTGTAATGTTCTGCACCCCTGGTCACACTGTAGCATGTGTTTAGAATTGCGTTGTGTGATTAAACTGCCTGATACTTACGAATGCATACTTGTTTATTCAATTCTCTCCGCATTGTGGCACCTTTGCCCAGAAAACTAGTACTGCTAATTATTTGGGGTATGACCACACTACCTCAAGTTGTAACTGAAGCCTCTGCTTGCAGGTCTGCTCGCATGGCGCAGCTCTAACTGCGTCTAGCATGCAAATGGCGCCGGAAGAGAGTAAGTAGCTTCTGATTGGTGATCACAAGCCAAGTATGCTTTGGGGGCCCACCCTGCATGACGCTGTTGGTCCGGCGTCAGAAGGCGAGGTGTAGTCAAGCAGGGAACGTGTCTGCCTGATCTATCCCTTGTTTTGGCTCGTACATCTGAAACCCCATGAAAAAAGAGCGGCTAGTCATGCAGAGGCATTTGGTTTAGTGCACCCGCTGTTGTTGCTGCCTCCTTCTGATGATGCTAGTTGCTGTTATGATTCGCTGAGCCAACACGTAATTGGCTGCTTCATCCTTTGAATGACAGAATCCTTTTCTGCGAGTCGGGTTTAGTCTAGGGTTCCAGTTTGAGGGTAGAGCTGAAGAATTTGATTCGTTACTCGGGTTTTTGTTGGGGCTTCTCACAAGCCCACATGAAAACGCAGGAGATACAAAGGACAAGTTGCTCATCTACCCTTTTTCAGGCCACCGGTTGCCCTGCATAATTCACAGGGATCAGGGGTCGGGAAACCACGCTTTGCAATCGGATCTTGTAAAGATTCCAAGCAGAACTCGGCCTCGCGATGACTCCGCAACCTTTTTCACCCAGGAACCTGAAGTGGAGCGAGGCTTTGTAAAGCCTGACATGCGTTGTCCAGCTACACTCCAGAACCATAGGAATCCTCATCTGCCAAGTAGGAGCAAGGGGTTGATACTCTGAAACTGTAATGTACTGCATGTCCGCTGCCCTCCGGCTTTTGCCACGAAGGCATTCCGAGACCGTAGCTTCGCAAAAGATGCTTTGAGGGACCCAGAGATGGAAGATGTTCTACATCCTGAATTTCACGTACAGAGCCTATACTAACCCAGGGTAACTTGCATACCGTCACTCAAATCAGTAGTCAGTTGCACTAGAGACCCAAACACGCAATCATTCTAGGTAAATTACGCCAGGTTCCCTCAAAGTAGGCTTCGGGCTGCATGGCTTGCAGCTTTCTCTGCTGGACAGCTTTGCTGACACCACTGCTCGTCTGTCGCTGCGAAGATGCGGCCCTGATTCAGGTAAAGCTGGAGCCACCAAAGGCGCCCGCCTGTGGGTGACTGAAAAGATTGTAAGGTGCGGCTGACCACATACTGGTAAGCATTTGGGATGATTGTTTTTGTCAGGGTTTCAGCAAGTGGAGTATATTCTTGGGAAGCAGACTTCGGAGGTAGCTTCTCCTTTTTTTTGAAGGGCTGGACGCCTTAAGTTATGTTTTGTCCTGTACGCGGGGCTTTTTCATCTCATAGGAGAATTCAAAGAAGATGACACTTACCAAGATGGGCAAAGAAAAGAAACATCTGGTACTGCCATATAGTGTTTGGTTGTGGGTATTGCAAGTACTTGCGCTCTCTGCTCTGTAGCACTAATGGTTTTGTAGGGGGTTTAGATGACCAGGTTTGATAAAGAACTGTGGGGTAATGTGTTTTTGCCTTGTTTATTTCGTGGCTCTGGATGTTGGACAGGAAGGGGGGAGGTTGAGTGTTCACGCTTCGAACTTGTGCGTGCGACTGCCAGCTTAGGGGTAACCATCTTGCTCCCGTTATACAGGTACCTTTATTCTGCCCTTCCCCTGGATGCGCTTGTGTGGTTTGAGCCCCTTACCCTCATGGTACGGCTTTGGTCATTTTCCACAGGCGCCTTTGATGGTTCTTCATGTGGGGGTGGAGAAGACTGGAACCACAGCCTTACAGTCAAATCTGGAGGCATGCCACTTGGCTACCGAATGTTTTCGAAGGGCGTTGTTTTGAGGTTGACTTAAATTACGGTTGAACCTAGCATGTAAAGATAGCAACTGTCTAACATGGTAATCCTATAGCACTATGCCCTTCACTCATAAACGTAAAGCTCCAAACCGTTCTGACCTATTTGTGCTTGCAAGCTCTTCTCGTAGTCCGTCACTTGGCTATAACCCTGGCTGACGTCCACCTCAAGCCCTCCACACCCATCCTGAGTAACCTCCGACAATCCCTTAACCGCTAAATTCACTGAACCCTGCAACCTAGATGTGCTAGCCACAACCCTAGACCCTCACACTTCGACAACCTCTCTGCAATTCTGAAAAGGGCCCCATAATCCTCGCATAAACCATGTAACGCATTCATATACATGTGTCTATTCCATCAATCTGTGTCTCTCTCTTTCTCTGTGTGTCTCTTTCTCTATTTGTATATATATATATATATGTATCCCCAAGGTCTCCATGGTAGCCCGATTGTGAAGAAGTCACCAAAATCTTGTCATGACTGAGGTAAAGGCTGGGCCGAGAGCCAAGGTGTGTCAACCTTTGTCACACTGCGCCGCCCTTCTCCGAATTTCGCCAACAGCAGCTGTCCTCAACTTAGAGACTTATAATTACTTTAGAGGGTCATTGGGAGTTGGGGTTTAAGGATTTAGACGTCATAATTAGGATTCAGGGTTCAGAGTTCAGGAATGAACAGGGGCTTATGGTTGGCTGTTTCGGGACTCGGGGTTGAGAGAGGCTCAGGGTTAGGGTTTGGGCTTTAGGAGCAAGGGTTTCACAAGTTTTGAGGATGCAGCCGTGCACGACAATGATGTTGATGCGAGCCTGTATATCCCCCAGTCTCATCTGGGAGTGTTTCAGTGAGTCCAAATCGAATCTTTTTTCAGGACCCCGGTTACTCGGAAGCCAGACAAAAAATCGAAGCAAGGCAACTTCATGGCACACTTCGTGAAGATGCAAGATCCTTCCGGGCATGGTGAGGACCGAGGGTTACAGCTTCAGGGCACGAAGCAAGTTCCTAAACACAAGCAATTTGGTTCGGGGCCGATGTCATAGATGCAACAGTAGAAGATATTGCCGTTGCTGCCCTGGCAGGGCCGAGCAGTTTCGGTCACGCATTGGGTCCGATGGTTGGCACATTATAGAAAGTCCTTGTATTTGCAGAGCCACACAAGCTTTTGCAGGTCCAGCAGAAATCTGCAGTCTAAGTCGCGGGTATCCATACAACAAAGCAATTTTTTGTTTTGACGCACATAGGCACTTTTTAGATCCCGGACCTACTGCGCGACGTCCCCACACCCAATCTCCAAGAAAGATCATGTGCGGAGTGACGGAGTGACCATATGGAACGCCGTAGGTGAATCATTCAGGAACCTTTTTGTAGCAAACTGGTCGCATGTTCGCATCATAGTGAGCTGATCCCACTGATCCATGCTGTGCAAAGCCAGGATGTAACCCAAGAAGCTAGCTGAACTCTGCTTATGTGTTTTTTTCTCTGATCTGGAGTTTATAGGGCTAAGCGTAGGAACTGGGATTTAGGGTTGAACATTTTGGGAATTGAAGATTCAGGGTTGAGGAGCTTAGGATTATAGCATTGTTGCATGTTGCCTTAACAAGTACCTGGGGCTCAGAGTGTGGGACTTTGGGGCTTAGGGCTTTGAGTCGAGAATGTTCACTGGTGATTGGTTTCTGCCTTTGGCAGAATTAAAGTCATTCCTCGCTCCAGGACAGAACTGCACCCTGTATGTTGTTGACTTGTCTAGATTCGCTCTGCTACTTGAAAAGCTCTTGGCGGGTTTGGCATAAAGGGTCTTTTGCCACTTAGGGCTCAGGATTGAATTATGCAAGTGCTGGAAAATGCCACTTCAAGCATGAAAGTGCATAGTCCAGAGGGTTGGGTCCTGGTTTTAGTAAGGGCTACCTCAGCAAAGGCATGCGAGCTTGTTATTGAGGAGTTTCAATGATCTTTCTCCTTCCCCAAACCCCAAACCTTCGATGCTACGTGGCCGCTCATAGCCAGTTAAATCCTTTCCTAGCCCATGAAGGATGTGCTACTGGACGACCAAGTTTTCAACGAGACTATGTCCCAACTACAGAGCTGTGAGGAGAAGCACCGGCGTGGTGAGACTTGCAGAGTAGTGACTCGCGTTGGCATGGCAACCACCTAGGCTTGAAACAGAACGCCTTCTCCCTGTAGCCATGGTGCCAGAGTCCTTGGATACGGTCTTGCGCGGGTGAATGGTTTTTTCTAGAGGTGCCACACAACTTGTTTTTTGTTCAGTGGAGGTGTACGATTTTACACACGAAACCATGATCCCCGGATTAGGACCAGGATGATGGGGGTTCCCAAGATCAGCAAAATCAGCCTGTACTATCGCAGTGAAGCAAGTCCACCTTCAACAAGAAGGAGCATTGTAGTCCACAGTTGCATTGTGCCTTGATGCACTATGAGCAAACACTGTCCGTGCCAAATTGTCCATCACACATGTATCCAAAAAACAATTCAGAGTCCAGGGTGGGCTTCTTTCCTTGCGGGTCCAAGTATACCCGATGTTCGGAGCGTGGGGGCTCATTTGCACGCCTTGAAATTAGGGAACCCCCCACAAATCATGGTTTAATTAGAGATATTCTCAAGAAAAACTGCAGCACTGCCATCGCCAGCCTGCATGCAGCGAAATGAAGATGAAAAGAAAACCCAAACCTGTCGGGCTGCAAGACCCTTCATCAGGATACCTGGTGGATGGGTTACTGGGGAACTTGAGGCCGGACCAATTCACTTTACATCCGCAACCCTTGTGAGGTGACTTCGTCGGAAGGATGGGCAGAGGTTCCAGATTCTGTCTGGATGCGCTTGTTGCAGCGGCTGAAGGGCTTCTGGGCAAAAGGGTCAAGGGTCAAGAGTTTGTGATCCCCACCCCTGGCAGTTTGGCCCCAAGCGGTCGTGCGTCTACATCATTTTCTGAGTGGACGGGTACCCGTATACACTCTTTGGTGTCAAGTATGTTCATCATCCAGTTATGGCTGTAGTCGCAGCCCTTGGGCGCTAGGCTCAAACATGTGCAGTGCAAACGATCTACAGGTCCGATGAAAGGCAAGTTTCTGTGTAGAAGGTCCTCTCCCTGTGTCGGTCATTTGACCCGTCAGTCGCAAAGAACTTTGGGTTGAGACGCCACCATAATCTCAGAATCTCATAACTATCAAAGCAGATGCATCTAGGGAATTGTGCTAATAGTTTTGTTGTGGCTTGGAATTAGAAAGTACATGTATGTGTTCAATACACCTTATGGTTTTGTGGCGGGCCTTCATTTGCTGGCTTCGATGCAGTCTTGCAGATACTGGCAACATCCATAGATTTGTCGATGCCTCGTGTGTTTTTCGACGTAAAAACGGTTTTGCAGAAGATTTTAGCCTTGGCCTACCTGTAACGGCAGGAAATCCAGAAAGCCCATAAACGCACACCATTTAAAACCAAATAAACATTACGGTCTGTGTGCCGTCTCTTTATTTAGTTTATGTGTTGGATACAATTTTTTTGCAGGCTGGAAGAGATCGTCCCAACCTTTGGGTTTGGTGTATGTTGTGTTGCGACTATGTTGGAAGGCTGGGACGTGCGAGTCTTCATCATGCATCGAGACTACTCCTCGTGGCTGCGATCTGACTACGCTGAAATGTACAAACCGGCCCACGGAGATGCTGAGGAGACAATTCAGTAGCAGGTTCAGGGAACGATAGCAATGTAGCAAGGCTTCCAAATTTCTAGCGGGTTGTTGAAAGTCTGAATTTCTTTCGCACGGGGATTGTAGCGCGTTCCCAGCCCATCTCAACTGGTGTCAACTTGAAGCCTTTTAAGCTGGGGCAAGTAAGGATGTAGCGAGCAACCCGATGAGTGGCCTGGAATATTTGGCAGGCCGAGCCTCCGTAATTGCACCAGGGAGCGTTGCTGGGCTCATTGAGACCGCATGTTTCGCATATTCCAGACGCTGCAGGTGGAACCAGATAAGGAAGTGCTACTCCACCCTCCCCTAAACGGCAAGTTGCCCTGTCTGTGTATCATAGAAAAAGCAACACACTGCATGCACAACTGCATGTCTACAGTCAGCTGGCCTCCTAAGCCTGAAGCCTAGGCCCCAAACCCTGAACCCTGAACCCTCGCCCTGCAAACAAAAGGTTGCCAGTCGAGTGGAGAGGGCTTTCCACAGCCTCTGCGGCACTCCACAAGGACCCAGCCATTGCGAAATCCAGCCTGCGTCTTACGACCACTTCCTCAGCAACGGCCAGGACGAGTACGAGTACCTGGTGGCCGGTCCTAATTCAAGGCTGTTGTTGTTCTTTTCCTGCGGAGGACTGCGATTCCTCCTCCTGCTCCTTCCTCCTTCCCTCAACTGCTGCATATGGTCCTGCTGCTCTTGCCGCTGCCGCCTGTAGTCTAATGTCTGCTACTGAATTGCGGGTGAACTGTTTTTACAACTGTTGCTACATCCGCTAGTGCCATCAAGCTTCTTTACCCTGAAAATTCTCGCTATGACATCTCAAAGTGCTGACGCACGATCCAACATCAGGCCTGAAAGAGGGGACCCAAAGCTCTTTTGGCAAAGCAAGCGCAACATGCAGGGGATCGGCTGTTCATCTCTTAGGCCTTTGGGGATGCAACTGTCGTAGATGTAGATGCATATTTGATTTAGAGCACAGACGTGGAGGCTGTAAACCTCAAATCCCCAGACGGAGCGATCGAGGTGCTCAATGTGACTCTTGCTCTTCAAGGCGAAGACTTTACAGCCCGCAACCATAGTCTCTGGCAGGCATGTGCCAGACGGGACACGTTTAACCCGTCAAGTCAACGCATACAAAGCGTCTCGGTCGGTGTAGGCATCGTGCCTTGAGACGGTTGATTAACGCTGTACATTTCATTTCAGCTTTGCTTTGCCAGTAGACTGAAGAGCGGTCACTGTTGATATTGCTTCCGTAAGAGCCCAGGTGCGTATGCTGGCTGACCGCCACTTTCTCAACTCATGCACTCTTCCCTTCAAGATGACTGCCTATGATGAGCTGCTAGGCCATGTACCCTTTTGGATGGCACGCATGCTTTAATTTCCTGAGGCGCAGTATGCATTGTTGCGTGCAGAGTACACGTCACAGAATCCCAGCCGAAGGAGGATGCCAACCAAAAAGGAAGTTTTGGTTTACAGTGGCTTATGAAGTAATTAGACAGCCGAACATTGTAGGTGCTTTTACTCTTCTGGTTTACTTTTGAGTTTGTTGCAAAACTCAGGCCTGTGCTAGCACTTGCCTCGCAGGGTGGCCTGCCCACGTACTGCGTAGCTGCTGGAAGCAAGATAGTTGGGAAGTATTCGGGCACGTGTTTAAAATGGTCCACTATTGGCTCCCTATCCTAGGAGCTTTATGGATATTTTGGGAGCATGATCTTGGGGCATATTCCAGTTTCTTGGTGTTTAGCCATCCTGCTGGTCTTGCAAGATGCTGTGTTGCCCTACATCAGGGCCTGTAATGATGTAAACGCCAATGCTGCATCTCCAAACACAGAGTTTCCTACTGCACACACACACACACACACACACACACGCGCGTTTATGGAACCCCGTCAGGAGCCTACAAAGACCGCTGTTCCCGTGAAGGTGCCCGTATGGAGTTACATGTTTGTGTTTCTGAAGAGCATATAAGCCCCATGATATCCTCGTATGTCATTTTCCTGTCTCGATGAAATCCTACATGACCCCCACCGACCATTTGTATCCGTATTCACAACAAGTTCTTCAACGAACTGTGACCCAGGACGTAGAGGAGCTCATGCGCGGTGATGCCGGCTTGTGGCAACAGTTTGCTGGTGTGGCAAGCAGAAGAAGCGGTGAGCGCTTGTGCTTCCTGAGCGAACACTCTTTGGATGCCTCTGCATGGGAGAAGATTCGTAAGCTTGCACCTCCGTGCCATTCGAAGTGATAGCCCCGATAGGCAGGACTAGACAGGGTGGCCTCTCAAAACTGTTTTGATCGCTTGGTGTGGGGGCCTCATAACTTTTCGGAGGATCCCAATTCATGCAATGGCCCCCACCGAAGGCAACGATAGGAAACTGCAGAGTAGAGTGTACAGGTCCAGACTTTCCCTGGCTCATTAAAAGCCATGCGGCGACATTCTTCAGCAGAGTCCAACTAGAATTACTCGCCCTTGACTGACAGAAGAGCAATTATGGTATCTTCCCAGCATACCCTTCACTTTCCAACCTTCCAGAGCGCCACCTGAAGGGGCATTTGAGCCTTTAGGGCTAGTTCAGCCGGCTAAGCCGCTAGTTTCGTCGAGTCTGCCATGCGAAAAAATGTGAGTGCGGAGTTTGGGCATACTGAAGAATGATGCAGGTTCTCGCCTGAAGAACCCTCAGGAGCATGGTACATGTAGTTTGTGCATGTAAACAAATCCAGCTCAAATGCAAGCCAGCCCACCACACCTTTTGTTGGGATGCTTGACAGGGGGTTATCTCAAAAGGGAGGCCCCCGAAGACTTTAGGGATGTATGGGGATCACAGGAGATTGCAGGGGTCCCAATTCTAGATTCCAGAGCTTGAACTTGAGAACCCTCTCCCCCCAGTATGCTTGCAATGTTATGTGATACTCATCTACCGGCCAGCAAAGGAAGAAGGCCCCTAACTCTTACAAGGACCCGCTTAAAATCTACCAAATTATTGTTCCCAGGAAAAATGCCGAGCGATTCCGTCCTTTGTTAACCAGATTCCATCGCCAGACGCTGATCCAATAGACTCGTGTCCGCATTGATTTTTGTGAATTTCTGCAGATCGAGAATACTTCAAGCCCACGTTTTAGTATCTTTCTTGGAGGTGTAAATAAGGTCCCTCAGAAAAAACTGTGCGTATGTGTATATATCAAATGCCCGGTCCAGGGCACCGTAGTGTGGCATATAAATCTTACGTTTGGAGTTTGTGGAGGTGGTTTCCAAGAATTGCACTTCTTGTGGGCTTCCAATTTTCGGTGGGGAACTGCCGGAATTAGGGGCGACCACGTTGAGATGTTTGTAGCTTACTGCCCGACACAGATCATAATGATGGGGCTCCAGAATTTACACCGCATGCACGCCGTGCTTCCTCAACCGGGAGGAAAGCAATCCGGTGCAGGTTTTGTTGAGGTCGGGCTTCACATGAGCTCGTTTCGAGACTGCTGGTCCTTATCTGTGGATGTCAACGTAAGAGCCTCCGTCTCAGTCCGCCGACCCAGAGGCGGAGAAATCGCGAAAGCCTAAACCCTAAACCTTGAGGTTTTCAGCAGCCGCGCACCAAGGCTCTAACCTCTGGGTTGTGGAGTATACATTGCTGATCCGACGACCCTAGATGCCCCCCTTAACCTCTAAATGGATTTATAATCCCCTTACTTTGACCCGAGGATCTGGACCGAACATATTTGGTCCGCTTCATTACCGACAGCTCCGCAGGATTCTTGGGTTTCCTTTGAGCTCCCGAAACCCCAATCACGGTTGAGTGCGTAGCCAGTTTTTTCGGGTATATTCGCAGGGCAGGATCTTTTCTTGGCTCTTTCGCCCCAAGGAAGAGTTGGGGGATGTAGGATGATGCATTATATTGTCTCCTGGCACACGAACAGTGATCATGTGGGATAGTGGTAATCGGAGTTGTTCTGCTTTCTTTTGAATTCCTACTGTGTGTGGGGGTGGGAGTAACCTAGAGTTTTCAGAAAGGCACCTTGTGCCTTCGTGCAACAAGTTGTTTACAGAGAAAGCAGTTCGACACCGATGCAATGCAGGAGCCGGAGTCTTCCTCAATTATTGATTGCAGGCTCTACCCCAAAACCCTGCACCAGCAGACCCCTACATTATTTTCAGGGTATGCTCCTTGTGTCTGTGCTCCGGCCTTGAACCCCGACAGTTTCACGTCGTTTGCGGCCCTGCCTGAGTCCTACAAACGTTGTCAGGTGAAGTTTATCGTTGGGGCTTAGGGTCTTATAAGGGTTACTGGGGCAAACTCTGGATTCACAACTCGTCGCCTTCAACAGCTGCTTAAACAGACACTACCAGTATCCTCAGGCAGAGCCCTGCATCTGCATTGTGTTCCCTTGTAAGCTCGATGTACCGGCTGTTCATAAAGATTTATCATGTGCTTGGCACCAGGCCCATCTAAAATCCCCCGAAGTGGCTGTGCTCCGTGGGCTTATCATGGATCCCAGGATTCTTCGTGAAGGACATTCGATTAACACGCGAGCTGCTCGACCACCTTGGAAGTTGTTTTATGAAGACTTACGACTTACTGGTTCTTAGTAGGGAATGAGGGAAGATAATCCCTATTTAATACCGACATATTCCCATATTCCCGATTAAGAACCAGTAGGACACTTGACTGGTCGGGCATGGCAATACCGATAATTCAGTGTCCTCAAGGACGGGCATAGGGTTCTGCATAACACATGCAGCCATTCTCGTGGTTGAATGCAGACATGGTTCAGGGTCCATGGTACAGGGTTAAGTTGCCTCTAGAAGCCCAGCTGCCATGAGTGTGCAGAAACAGACAAGACCACAGGAATGATAGCGGTACCGGTTACAACGCCAAGACGGAGTGGCAAGACGTCTGAAACATATCTATAAATCTTTCGATTTGCGAGTGGGGTATAGCTACTCATCACATGACATATGACCTATAACCTATCGACCCTTAACTGCTGCAGAAGCTCGAATGAGTCACATTCTCTTTTCCTCATATAAGAACTTGCTACCCCCAATCCCCATTGCAATTATCCAGCCACCCCGCTTCAATCCTCTGAAATCCCATGTAAGCCCAGTTTGCTTGCATCTTCCTTTTCTTTTTCATTTGATTCTGCAGAAACCAAATTATTCTGGCCGCTGCGGTCGGTAGGTAGCGCCGGGCTTCTTTCCAAGATTTTCCATTTCTTTATCGCATCATTCTTGGGTATGTTGCTAATGTATACATGTATACAACCCAAGCAAAAATGTAATAAGATGATGTCAAGGTACTTCCCCAATAAGCAACCACTTTCATGAGGAAACCTTTCCCTACGAAGGGCTTCTCTTGAGCTAGCTTGAGGGCTCTGCACTGAATCCTGAACCGTGTCTTCCTGGATAACGGGGCTGCCAGGTGCATGCACATTCGCTGGAACATGGCGCCCCATAACGTCTTTACATCTTGTATCACTCTTACTACCTATCCAAGGTTAACTATGGACTAGGGTGGCATGATATGTGGCATTTCCTCATCCGGATCCCTTTGACCTTTGACGCGCGATGCTGACGTCTTGGCGGCATCCGAATAGTGTTGACATGTGGGAAGTGGGCACATACTTCTCGCAGTATACTACCATTGAAGCACACATGATCAGCCGAAATATTCCGCAAGGGCAGGCATGCTTTATCTAGGAACCTGGCCCTCAATGTCCTGTCTCTGGTAGGCAATGCACGAGAAATCCCTTCGATTATCTTAGTGCATGTAAACGAAAAACCCTGAAACCCGGAGCGCCATGAAGTTCAGATTGTGTTGCAGGATCTCAACGCAAGATGGCATGTTATTTCATTTGTAAGCTGCTCACCAGAGGTACACCGTCACACCAAGATCATGTTCTAGATCTCCAAAAGGGTCTCTGTTCTTGAGACGCGCCCACGCAAGGATGTTCCTGAAGAACTTCATCATGGTCGGCGGCGTTCTGTCAGGATTTGTGGGCGTCCTATCTCGTGTTTGAGGCCCTCTAATGCTGCCTGCAGGTATTAAGCAGTTTTCAGTCTAACCTGGCAGATCCTTCTTGAGAGCCCCAAGCCACCTAAAGCAGTTCTGTAGAAATCTGCTTGCGTTGGGTCATCGTCTATAATGTCTAGAAATGTTACCTACGCTGATCATTACTGCACCATGCACCACAAGGACTGCTCAAGTACCCGAGGTCTCGGGTACATGCGACAAATAAGTATCAAACTACAACATTCTGCCAGCCTGAAGGTTTCTGACCCACACTTGTCAGAGATGTGCTTGCCACCGCACATACTGCTTACACCGGACCTTACACCCCAATCCCTGAATCCAGCTCAGGGCTTGCGCAAGGGCTCCGAGTTGCCAGAGAACAGAGTCGAATTGAGTCATATCGCCCTAACTGCTCGACCGCACACCCTCAATCCTTCAGGCAGCATGGAGGCTTGAGCTTGCGCTCTCTTGAATGTTGGGTGCGTACATTGATAGGTATGTGAGCGAACCCGCAGCTTCCAAGCAATAACTGTATCCACCGCAGGACCGAAGGGTCCAACTGTCGAACAATCAATATCTCAACACCTTCCTAATCAAATGCCAGTATCCCGCTATTGCTTACTTTGTCCCTCTCGGGATGATCCTGAAACCCCAAACTCTGAGTAGGCTTATAAGCTTGATGATCAGCCCCGCTCTAAACCCAAACTCCTTAGGGCCCAGGAGTTGAACACAAGGCATGGAGGATGTCAGGTGGCCTTCCACGAAGTAGTTCGTTTTTTGGGTGTGTCCTTATAGTAAGGTATACAGGATATTGGAAGCCTCAAGAAACACCTCCGTTTCAAAGTGTTTTCCCGGACAGTGGCATCATGGACAAGGAGTTGCAAACAAACCCTATAAGGGTTGAAGAACCGAACAATGGAGTAACTTGGCTTTGGGTACCAGGACCCTGTAGGTTAGGGACGTGGAAATATTATCAATGGGTGCTTGCAGTCTGGCAGAGTGTGATACATGTTTGGCACTAGAAGGTAAGAAGAGGGTAACAGCGTTTGGAATGGCAAGCCCTGCGCACACGTATTCCAACGAGATGAAGGTTCTTCACCCACTCGAGAACGAGTCTTAATCCAACGCCCCGCCTCCTTTTCCATCCTTGCAGATATTCGCTCCTGAGAATGAGCGCACAAGCTCTGGATTAAGCAGCAGTACTGCTGGCTTTGTTTAACCCCTTCATTGAGATGGATGGTTG